AAGTATTAGCTCTTGTTGGCAAGGAAAGATTTTTACGTTCAAAAATTAAACAAGATTACACACATTTGTGCAATCATAGCAGACCATTCACACAGTATCTCTTTGGGGATGATGTCTCTATATCTGCTAAGGAGTTAGATTGCTCGAAGATTACGAATAGAATGTTTCAAAACAGACCATTTAGAGGTACAAACTTCTCGAGGAGGAGAAGTCAAATGCCCCATTTCAGAGGAACTTATGGACGAGGCTATCGTGGACAAGCAACTGGTAATGAGATTGGTACAAGTAATACTGGCAATGAAGCAAAAAACTACAGGCGAGAGTTGAGTCGTCCATACAGACATTAGAGGTATGTGACTTATTTCAAGCAGGTAGATTTTGTCAATATATTGATGAATGGAAAAAATTAACAAGTGATCCAAATATTCTAGATATTGTTGAACATTGCCATATAGACTTACAAGTGCTAGATTTAGAAAAATACAATTTTGGACGTCCAAATTATAATTTTAATGCAAAAGAGTCATGTATAATTAATAAAGAAGTAGATAAATTGTTGAAATTGGGAGTAATATTGAAAGTTAAACCTCAGCATGATCAAATTTTGTCACCAATTTTTCTTAGACCATAAAGAATGGGGAATATAGAATGGTTTTGAATTTTTAAAAAATTGAATAGATTTATTCCATATAAACATTTCAAAATGGAAACTTTTGAGAAAGCTTTAACATAAATCACACCAAACATTATGCTAGCATTTGACCTGAGGCATGCTTATTATTCAATTAAGATTGCTAATGAACAGCAAAAAATATTTCCTATTTGTTTGGAACATTAGTATTTATCAATATACTTGTTTGGCAAATGGGGTATCTGAAGGGCCTCGATTATTTACATATTTGCTTAAGCCAAAATATTCAAAGCTGAGGGGATTAGGATATATTATTACTGGTTTTATAGATGACAGTTTATTAGGTGGTGAATCAGTTCAGGAATGTACTGAAAGTATTAATGCTACAATTAAACTTTTGACTAAGGTTGGATTCATTATAAATTTTGAAAAATCAGTATAGATTCCCACAACTCAAATATGTTATTTAGGTAACATAATTCAAAGCAGTTAAAGCAGACCTTCAATCACCAATTGTCCAAACAATGCTATCAGCATTAACAGCTATGTATGTGAAGGTTACAGGACCATACTGGTGGTTAGTTACCTCTGGCTTAGTAAATTATTTGGAGTTGTTATCTTATATTAACAGTTTGTGGGTTTTCTTAGACGAATGTGAAAAACAACCAATGACAATGATCGAAAAGGACTGGTTGCCTAATGCTTATGTTCCTCAGGTTGACAAATATCAAAAGTTTGTGGAAGAAAGACAAAATGAACTGTCAAACAGGCTTACAAGCATACTAAGTGGTTCAATGAAAAGAACTGTAGAAAAACAGTTAGCAGACTTTCTTGAAAGGGGCCATTATGCAGAAACTCCATCAAAATCTGACCTCCAAAGAACACAATATGCGCATGTTACAAATTTAGGATGTGAACACCATTTTGGTGACCTAGACAGTTCACAACGAAGATGCAAAATGCATCCTTCCACCATCATTCAATTGTTCACGAATAAAAAGAAATAGATGCCAGTTGTTCAAAATAGATGCCAGTTGTTCAAATGGCTGGACACCAAACATGAAAGCGAAAAAAAATGTTCTATTAAAAGCTGCACGCAAAGGTGTAAGGAACCTCAGGGAAATTCACACAGCTGAGGAGACTTGGGTACGGGGAGAGCTGTTCGAATCGATGACCGAAAAACCAAAACGACGCAGAGTTGTGTGTACACCACAGCCTGATGTTTCTACAATTACAGATGACCAATTTGATTTCCGTCTTGGCGATTATGTAGCTATTGCATACCAGGACGCCTGGTATCCTGGTTGTGTAGAAAAGGTCGAGAAGGATGTAGCCACTGTTAGCTTCATGGCCCAATGTCGCATGGCTGGAGTGCTTGCTTGGCCAGCCAGAAAGGACACCCAGGAAGTCAACACGACATTCCTTTTGTGTTGTGGATTAGTGCAAGAAGCCAGAAACTCGGAAAGACAGTGGTTTTTTAAGGAACACTGACCTTGAAATAAAGTATTTAGGTTTTAAGGATCAGTTTTTTTAACTGAATTGAAGTAAACATTGTGTTCTGGTAACATTTGTAATGACTATTACAAAATTAAGAAAACTGTGATGTTATGACTGGACTTGTATATTTTGATCACATGGCCTTGTATATTTTGAAAATGAAAGAATCAATTAGTCAATAGTTTTTAAAATATTACAAGATGAGGGACACTATACTGTTGCCATCTTAGCCAACTGTGAACTGTTTATTGTTATTTATAACTGTTATAATGTATTTAAATTAATTCATTTTATTTTATCATCTTGTAGCATATTCTTAAAAACAAGAGCCATGTCAACATGGCCATCCCCCGCCGAATGTGTTTGCTCATTGGAAGAATGTATATGTAGTAGAGCAGAATAATTCCATTTTAAGAGGTCTTTTGGTAATGAAAACTGATGGCTATATTGATTACAGATTTGAAACCTATGTGAATACTGATGGCTGAAAATAACAAAGGGCAATAACTGAAAAATAATGCAGGGTAGGTTATCATTCTTGTGTGCTGCATCCCTCCTCAGTAAAATCTATCGACCTATGAAGTTTCAAGTTGATACCTCAAATACTTTTTGAGAAAAAAATTGAATTGAAAAATTAAGTATGAAAAATAACAAAGGGCAATAACTCAAAAATTATAAAAGGTAGAGTTATCATTCTTGTGCACTGCACACCTCCCGAGTTAGATCTATGCACCTATGAAGTTTCATAATTATATCTCAAAGGCCTTTTGAGTTATGCTCTGGACAAAAATTAATTTTGAAAAATAACAAAGGGCAATAACTAAACAATTATGCAGGATAGAGTTATCGTTCTTGTGCACTGCACTCCTCCTCAATGAGATCCATCCAGCTATGAAGTTTCAAGTTGATATCTCAAATACTTTTTGAGATAAGCTCCAGACAAAATAGTATGAAAAAGAACAAAGGGCAATAACTAAAAAATTGTATAGGGAAGAGTTATCATTCTTGTGCACAGCATTCTTCCTCAATAAGATCTATCCACCTATGACATTTCATGTTGACATCTCAAACACTTTTTGAGTTATGCTCCACTCAGGTGAAAAATTAAGAATGAAAAATAACAAAGGGCAATAACTCAAAAATTATGAAAGGTAGAGTTATCATTATTGTGCACTGCACACCTCCTGAGTGAGATCTATGCACCTATGAAGTTTCATGTTGATATCTCATTGGCTTTTTGAGTTATGCTCTGGACAAAAATCAATTTTGAAAAATAACAAAGGGCAATAACTCAAAAATTATGCAGGGTAGGGATATCATTCTTGTGCACTGCACTCTTCCTCAATGAGGTCTATCCACCTATGAAGTTTCAAGTTGATAACTCAAATACTTTTAGAGATATGCTCCGGACAAAAATGTCGGACGGACGGATGGATGGAAGGTCGGACGGAGACTATTACTATATCCCCCGCCGCCTTTTCGGCGGGGGATAATAAATCATGATGAAATAAGGGTTTTACCATATGAATAACATTTTGAAAAAAAAATGTTGGATTTTTTGTGTGTGTGAAAATAAGGTGTTTTAAGGTCAGGATGAAAAGATACCAAAAAATAGACTACAAAAATGAAAAGAGCAGGAAAAAATACAAAAAATGACCAAGTTTCATGCAGATATCTTAATTTTTAAAAAAAAAAAATATGAAAAAAAAAACCCTAAAGAAAACTCGAAATCGAGTTCCGCGAATCGAACTATATATGAAATAATAGTAAAAATTCTAAAAAGTCGACAAAATTTTATGACTTTAACAAATCATAACTTTTTATTAGTAGAGATAAATTGAATATTCAAACTTTTCTGTAATTGTCTCACTTAGATCTTTAATTTTATCATAATTGCATATAAATATATATTACTTTAATAAATTGTCTGGGGTTGCTATTAAAACAACAATGCTTATGACAGCTCGTGTACAGACATTGAATGTTATTACTCTCAAGGATATCAAGAAGACAAAGTTTGAATTTGTATTTAAACTAGCTGATTCAATTGAACAAAATCGGCCAAATTTTAATGTGGGTACTTTTCTTTTAAAGCTTACCCTCTAGGACAGAAGATTGTGTATTTACACTGAATATTTAAATCGCACAAGTTTTAAGAAAAAACTCCAATTGTAAAAGTTATTGATAAGCTACGTGTAACCATATAAAAATGTAACACATGACACTATATCGAGATGGATAAAGACAGTTCTTATTAGGTCAGGAATTGATATATAACTGAATTTGGATCGCACAGTGTGCATTCAGCAGCAGTTTCTAAAGCTAAAGTTAACATGGTACCAGTAAATGACATACTACAGAAGGGAGGATGATCTAATAAGTCTACATTTGCTAAATTTTATGACATTAAAATTGTGAGTGGTGATTCTTTCCAACATGGAGTGTTGCAATAGTTTTGTAAGCTTATGTTGTATCACATTATATGTTGAAATCTCATTTAAGAACGAACGAAATTCTTAGACGAAAAATAATTTAAAAAAATAAACGAGACTTACCTTGGTTAAGTCGATTTTTGATTTGAATTATTTGAGGATACGAATTGAGGGAGGGCTTAAATGTCACCCTCCCTCCCAGCAAAAAGAAAGAAATGTTAATAGATAAATGAATCCTCAAAAATACAGATCAGAATATTATGTAGAATTAACTCTGTTTTTTTTTGGAAAATGCATTATGTTATAATGTGCTAAAACATTGTTAAAAACTGATCAGCGCATGCGTTGAACATCTCATTTAAGCCCTCCCTCAATTCTTATCCTCAAATAATTAAATCAAACATCGACTTAACCAAGGTAAGTCTCATTTATTTTTTTTTTTTACGTAAGCCAGATAAGTTCAGCTTCACTTAATTATATAAAGTTTTGCTCCATAAAAGTACATTTTTGTAACAAATATTTTGAAAACATAAAAATCAAATGAAATCAATAAAATTGCATACAGGTAGCTAAACAGTCCACAGAAGCTAAAACTTCAAATGAGCTGCACCATGACAAAACCAACATTATGGGTTTTTTGACCAGCATGGATCCAGACCAGCCTGCGCATCCGCACAGTCTAATCAGGACTTACAAACCCTTTAACAAGTAGAGAAACTGATAGCGAACAGCATTGATCCTGACCAGACAGCGCAGATCAATGCCGGTCTGGATCAATGCTGGTCACAAATCCATTATGTTGGTTTTGTCATGGCGAGGCTCAAATAGACTGTCAAGATGCTCTAAGTACTAAAATTATTAATACTAATTTACATTAAATAAATAGCCAGTGTTTGTCAATGAGTATATGTAGTGGTTATCTCTAAGATACAATTTAATAAAACAGAACAAACTAGAACTGTGTCCAAAGGACACCGATGCCCCCACTGACAACATATATATGGTATATAGTGAAAAAATCAACAAAAGGCTATAATTCTGTTAAATTAGGTCGCAGCAAAAATTCCTTCCTTTAATTCCATCTACACATTAAGGTTGTTCATCCCGGGAAGTTTAAGCAAAATCTGCCATCCGGTTTAAGAGGAGTTGCGTTCACAAGATTTCGGGATGTACGGACAGACGTACAAGTGCAACACTATATGCTGCCACTTTGTGGGGGCATAAACATTAACAATGAATTGCCAGCAATTTACACTTAACAAAAGGAAAGTATATCCATTTTCAGTGGGAGATTTCCCACTTTGTACTGTCCGAAAAAAAACTGCCATAGTCTATGGTAACATTTTTTACTTCTTTCGTACATTCATTCCTATACACAGTGAGTTGACCACTTATTGGCTTTAATCAAGTGTCTTGCTGACTCAAGAGCTTACCAAACCTTACACTTTGTACATTTCTGCCTACCCCTACAGTTTATTTATTTATTTCATATCCTAAGTGCCCGTATCATTCCTATGGTATTTTCAATGTTTCAAATTGTTTCTTTATGTAAAAACCTTTTAAACATGTATGCCAAAACAACTACTTTTCTAAAGAGTTTTTCCTAATCACTTGCTGGTCCCCACTTCTCTAAGAACTGGCACATTTAGGAATGCTTTTTCCTCTCTGTATGTCCCAAAATGACTCTATCTCTTGCATTAAACTCTAAACTTTTCCTAGCATTCTCTCTTTTTCCATTTTCATGAACTATTCTTTCTCCATTGCTATATTTAGAAATGATCTTTATATCCGTATCAGGTGTACTTTTGAATAAATAATCCCCATTCTTGCCGGGAAATGTCTTAACTTGTTTTGAATTATCACCGGAACTTTTCAATTCTGGAGTGACATATTTGTCATTACAAGTGGCCCTATTCTGATAAACATGATTCTGAGAGCAAACATATTCCTTCGAACTGTTTCTCTCAAATTTCCCCGAAGATGATCGTCTCTGATTTGAACGCTCATAACTAGGCTTAACTTGCTGTGTTTTTAATCCTTTATTAAAAGAATTTGTTTTAGACTGTCCGTTGAAAACTTTTACTCCTTCAGTGACAATGTCTTTTTGTTCAATGCGATTTTCCTTATATACAATTTCAGGGCTATTTTGCATGCTTATAATTTCTGGCAATAGTGATGATTTTGCTGACAGCTTGTCTGAAAATGTTTCTTTATAAATGATTTCAGGACTTTGTAACATTGTATTGTTTGTTTGGGTAAATAATTCTCTTTGATTTGGTAATACTGGTGATATTTTTCTTTCCCTGAATTTCAAGTCATAACCAATTTTTTCCTCACTTCTACATTTATATTGAGAACTGGAGGTAACGCCATGTTCCATAGATGTATTCTGTGAAGACTGGCACTTTTTCGCAGACGTATTAACGTTGATTCCCCCAGTGTCTGGTCTAATGTTTTTTGGACTAGTCGTATACACAGAACGGTGGGCAGTTGGTTGATGCATGTCTGCTTCGCAACCTGAAATGTTGTTGTTGGGAGTTTCTACAATATCTGAGCTCCTCCTCCTCCTCTGTCCTGAGCTCCACCTTCTCTGTTCGTCATTTTGTCTTGAAGACGAGTAATTACTTTTATACCTTCTTAAATCCGAGGATTCCGAATTGGCTGATCTCTTCCTCTTTGACATTGCAGACAAGCTGAACTTTTCCTCGTCAGTATCTGGTATATTTTGACTAGCCTGTCTCTTTTTGTGAATACGAGGTGAAACTACATCTGCAGTATTCCCTTCATTCTTCCAATACTTCTTTGAGGCCAGGCCACTTAAAACAGTCCCTGAATCTGGTTTTTGATCGTTTTCGTGTAAAATGTTTGTGTGTGAAAATCCTCTCATGCCTATTTTTTCATCTTTTCTAGGTGAAACTGTTCTTGGGTCAGGTTTTTCATCTTTTACTCTGACAGTATCAATAGAGAATTCAGTTTCTGTATAGCAAATACCAGAGTCTGCCTTACTATCATTAGACCGACTTCTCTTACAATGGTGTTCATTTTCCTTTTTCCAGTTTCCCTGAATGCCGGACTTCTTCCTATCTGATAAACCTTGCTTCGGAGAAAGCAATATTAATTCTTCATCTTCACCGACAAGTATATTTTTACCTGCTTTTTCCGTCCTTTGCTTTTTAAAACCAAAAATATCAGACTTCTTCTTAGCTGATGTACCATGCATTGGTGACAGCAGTATTAATTCTTCATCTTCACTATTATATGCAATTTCCCCTGCACGTCTCTTTCTGTTTTTATGTGGTGTAACTACATGTGAAGATTTCTTCGAGTCACTAAAACATGTTTTTGAGAGTGTGCCAGGTAAAGCAGTTCTTGAACACATTTTATCACTGTCAGATGTATCTGTTCCTATATTGAGTACTCTGAAGCGTTCAGTACCATGAGTGGCTGTCCTCCCAGTATAACGATATTCTGTTTTCTTTTTCAACATTCTATCAGAAACCGGTTTCTTGCTTCCACTGCTTTCCTGAATTCGCCTGCTTTTATTAGAAGATCTTTGCGAGTGCATGTTATCACTCATACAATTCCCTGAATGTGAAGTTTCTCTGTCCAGCAAACTATCGTCAGTGTCACTTGTATACTCAGAGCTTTCCACGTCATCTTGAGTACTTTCCAAACATTCATATCCGGAGGTGACGGAATGATCATTTTGTGAACCTTTCATTTGAGAACTGTCGCTAAACATCATAACTGAATAACTATCATCGGATGAAGATTCTTTAGCTTCTGTACTGCTATACCTTTCACCTACATAATCACTTCTTAAGGCAAAAGGCCGATATCTATGATATCTTGTTTCTAAGTGGGTAGCGGCTGTTGATGAACTGTCTTGCCAGTCTGTGTCATCCGACTGAAAAGACGAATACCTTTCCTCACATCTCAAGACTGTCTGACTGTTTTTACTATCGTTTAATTCAGGCCTTTGTGAGGTACGTACCCTTTGACGAAAATCTGATTTTGGAAAATCAGAATTCCCCTTAAGTGTCATATGTGTGACCTTTCCCCTTGAATTATCCTTTGACCTTGTACTACTCTTTGCGTGGCTTGAATAAACACCACAATTTACAATTTCTTTCTCAACATTCCTCGCATATCGTGGACAGGGTCTCTTTAACGTGTCTTTACTTCTTGAATGCTCGATCATTAAATCTCTGTCGTTTTCTCTATTATGCCTACGTTCTTCAGACCTGTCTTTCAATTTTAAATCCTTTTCAGACAGTTTTCTTTTTCTTCTCACAGCTTCCTGTAATAAAGCCATTTCATTATTGATATTTTTCAAATTCTTTTCCCTCTCATCACCACATAAATTTCTAAATGCCGGGACAGCAGAATGCCTCTGTCTACATATATCAACATTTTCACATACAGCTGAAGTTGAATTCTTTTTCACATCTTCCACAGTCCTGCCTGAATTGCTATAGTTGAGTTTTCCAGCCACTGGTTTAGGTTTTATCACTGATGATATCTCCCTCAAGCTAGGTAACTCTGCAGTGACATTGGCGACATGATCGCGGCCTACTAGCGGGTGTTTCCTCATGTTAGACGGTATTTTAGGCTTGTACCTATAAGATTTCTCTGTCAAGCCAATGTTAAAGGAAGATACACCTGAAATGATATAAAAACATTTATCTTTCTACTTTATCCAGTGGTAGTGAAGATGCAGAAACTATGTTCACAAGGGCCATAATTCAGTGAATTACAATCTTTTATTTTTTAGTGTTGATCAGTGACCAACAAGTATAGTCCAAAAGACATATGTGAAGGTTCAAGTGAATACCTTTAACTGATGTGGGAATTGATCTTGATGCAGAACCTCAATCAGGAATTCATTTATTTACAAAGGACTGTTCTTCAGTCAAAAGCCAAGCAAGAGTTAAAGGTCTTGTACAGTAAACCTACAATTATGATCCTTAAGGCATGTTATGAGAAATTTTAAGCAAACCCTTCACCTTAAGCTACATCTAAATCTTTAAAAGGAGTGTAATGCAGTAGATAAATTACCACTAGATTTACACTATCAAGAACTTTGTAAAAAAACTTTGTCTTTGGACTTTCTAGGATTTGCACCAACACTGGAAAAATATCATTTCTGCCCCCCCCCCCCCCCTATTTGAGTTTTACGTCACATCAATACAGTTCAGGTTATATGGAGTCTTTCCAGCTTTACTGGTTGAGGAAGACTTCAGGTGCCCTTACGTAAATTATTTCAGGTGGAAATAAGCTAGTTGGATAAGTTCCTCACATGAAAGAATTCAAAATCCGTAGGGAATTGAACCTACAGCAGTGAGGGGCAAATGGTTCGAAGTTAACGACCTTAACCACTCGGCCAAGGATGTCATCTTAATCGCCAAGGTTAAACTAAACAAACACTTATAAATACTGACCAGAATCGCTTGATAAGAAAGCCAAAGGTATGTGACTAGCAAAGAATGGATGTCTAGCTGCCTGGGATACTGTAAGTCTCTCCTCTGAAATAAAAAGGTTTTATAATAGTTGTATTAACCCATTACTTGCCTAATTTCTTAATTAATACTAAATGAACTTGTGCATTTTTTTATTGGAAATGCCCATGTCCAGCTTCCACTTTTTTGGAAATGTTCATTACTGGTTTAGGGGATATATTGGCGGTATAGAGCCTGGTTAAATTGCAAGGATGTACCGACTGGCTAGGTTCTACTGGAGATCATAGCTTATCGTTTCCTGCATGATAAAGCTGAGCGAGAGCCCTCACGACTTTTGTCTCTGCTTGATAGTTAAACAAACCCTTCATAGATGAAGACCTCAGGTAACCTTTTGTGTATCATTTCAGGCACCCGAGTAGAACCACGGACGAACCATAAGCTAGCTTCATCACATGAAAGAATCCAAAGCCCCTGTGGAGATTCGAACCCACAGCGTTGTGGGGCAAGTGGTTTGAAGTAATAAACCTTAACTACTCGGCCATGGGCGGCACTATAAGGCAATTTTTCAAAGTCCATGCTGAGAGCTATGGACCTTTGATGTTGACCTCAAACTATGATCCAATCAACATGTGTTAAGCTTCAAATGAATATATTCATTTGCTTTGAAGATTTATGTTGCATGTATAAATTTAACAAAGGAATTTCTAAGTTGTGAGAAAGTTCCTATTCTTCAATGGCGGCAGTATGACATCATCAAGCACTTACTTGGATTATAAGTCAACATTCCACTTATCAAATCAGCTAACTGTATATCTATACACTGTAAAATATCCATCAGCTTCAGGGTACCTATAAATAAACAGACTGTGCTTACTCATAAAAGAAAAACAAAAAACAATTCCTTCATATATACCGGTATTTGGACATTAAAGGGACTCGACTGAAGGTTTTTTTTGATGTCATGGGACTGAAAATATTTTTCTAATATTTGACTTTGTGTACCATTTAATGTATGTCTGGAGCAATAACTTTTGTTGTGCAAATTCTCAGACCATTCCCTCTCCCCATTTTTCCAGAAATTTTCTTAGTGTGCAAAATACCCCCCCCCCCCCCCCCCCCAAAAAAGAAAACACTTTCACTCAAATTGGGCTACAAATCAATTTAATTCTCAATTTAATTCTGAGCATATTTCTTTATTATCCTTGGCAGATTTTTCCATTTGAGGTTCTTCACTTGTTTAATTTAAGAATTCTAAATTTTATATTTCTAGGCTTCTTGACCTCAGTGGAGTTCCTTTAAGAAGTTTAGATATGCGATGATAGAGTTAAATGATTCCTTATAAACATATGAACTTTGTATCATGAAACTACACTTAAAAAAATTACCCTTAAACTGCTGGTGGCCGAGGAATCTAGCCATGCAACCAATGACAAATTAAAATAGGTTTGCTTATCTGATTTATATGCGGATTTTAAAACTTTTTTGGCCATATCTCACATTACCGACTTTCCTGGATAACTAAACAGTAATTCAAAATTTCTCTGCAAGATACTGACTACTTATCCCAAATTACAGAGTTATGTCCTCTTGCTTGGCATTAGGGATGATGGTCACTAACAAGTGTTAAAAGTAATTCACTTTTTAAAGTGGGGGCATAAATAGAGAATATTGAATGAGTGTAATGTTGATACTGAATTTATTGAACAAGTTGAATAAAATGATATTATGCGAGCCTCTGGCTAGCATAATATCATTTTATTCAACAAGCTCAATAAATTAAGCATTAAACTTACACAAATTTAATATTCTATTTATCACACACCAAAAGTAAAGTATAATGCTAACATTTAGCGCGTGTTGACGCTATGTTTATATAACGAAAATGATGTCATGTCAAAATATATGCATGACCATGTAATAACATTTTTACGGAGTCGTAAAAGTGACACGGGTATGTGATAAACAATAGTAAGAATATGTTTAGAAACTTGTTAAATTCTGAACAATTGGAATGTATTTTTAAATTTCAACCATAATCATGAGGACAGACTTACAGTTAGTTTGGTCTCTATCTGTTGTGTACTTCTTATAGTTTCTGAAAAACTTTCCTCGTGCGAACACCTTGGCGGGAAATGGTCCTAGTATGGAAGCTATCTACAATAAAGTGCCCCATGAAAAACTTTCATTTATTAAAGTCGTTAAGAAAATGTGTAAATGTCATGTATAATTCTGATTACAGTAACAGTAGAGGAAAAATAAAACGCTTGCTGAGTCATGATTATACATTGTAAACAAAGATTGAGAGCATTACAGAAGAATTTTATTTACTATTATCAAAAATATATAATATCTCAAACCCTACAATATAGAATTCTTTTTCTTTCATTGTTTTTTTAAGTTATTTTACGAACATTTTAAGTTTGTAAAAGATAGAATGGAAATGCATCAGAAAAAGTCCTAACTTGGCTGGGATTCAAACTCACAACAATGAGCTTACAAACCAAGTAACAACCCTCAAGACCACTGAGCCAAAGTATCAACTCCTTGATGCAGTTGTCAGAGGTTGCACAAGGTAGATTTGCACTCAGACATAACAGTTGACATAATTTTTTTTAAAATAATCACAGAGTAATCAAGTTAAATCAAGGAGATATGAATTTGCCAACCAACACCACATAGTCCTTAACTTTCTTCTTATAAATATATACCCACATACATGGTTATGCGAAGCTCATTTGTAAACACACAAAATGTGCACAAGTCAAAACTGTTTAATCACCAATGGAATCTTAATCTTATGATCAAATTTAATTAATTTGACCATTTGACCAGACAGGACACCATATATGAAACACTTTAATAGATCTTTAATATTTGGTAACAGTATTATTTTTGTGTCAAATGTTAACTTACAAGCTTTATTGGTAGTAGCAGACTTACGGCAATGATTTTAAATGTTATTCAGGCAGAATTGAGATATGGGCAGAACCAAACAGCAAATCAAATGCACACAACTCGACCATGAATGTGCCTCGAGACAATTTTTTTTTTTTTCGGTTGGGTTTTACATCCTAAAATCACAGCACAGGTCATTTGGCGACTTTACAGCTTTACTGGTGGAGGAAGATCTCAGGTGCCCCTTTTGCGCATCATTTCTGGCACGAACATGCACCACAGTCGTTTGATAAACTAGCAAGATAGCTTTTAGACAAAACTAAAACATACCTGTTCAATGATACCTTTCATAGTTGTACTGAGGAATAATGGCCTCCCGATCACTAGTTCTACCAATATACATCCCAGAGACCATATGTCTATCTCAGGTCCAAATGGTAAACCATAAATTACCTGATATAAATTAATTAAACATCATTTTTAATCTTGCTTTCTTTTTTTTTTTTTTTTTGTGGTTTAAAAGCCTAAAAATATAACATTTGAATTTCTTACATAAATGATATGGGGCACTTTAAACGGAAGTATAGGCAAAGATAGTTAAGAAATATACTTTGAAATAAATTGAAAATCGTATTCTTAACGCTTTTCATTTTGGGTCATTTTTTTACAATTTAAATAATTATTCTGGAAAAACAGAGTGCCCGAATGAAATTTTGCACAAAGACTAGTGGTCTAAACCTACATCAAATGGTACATTTATCTGGAAAAAATATTTTCAGTCCCATCATGCCAAAAAACCTCAGTGGAGTCCTTTTAAGTAATATAAGCTGTTTTTAGGTCAAATGGTGACATTCCAGCTTTATTGCTAGGAGCAGAACTTAGTTGTCCCTTCTTGCATTATTTATACAGCAAACAGGCTGAAAGTCAGCTGGTTCACTACCTCGCTTGAAAGAACCCCATGTTTCTGATTCTAATTTTCATAATACACAAATGAATAGCAAATATATCAGTGTTCCTTGAATTGTTTTAAAAATATACATAAGGTATAAAATTCTACATGTATAATGGAAGAAGTTTGATACAGCTGGATAGATAATATTTTTTTTCATTTTTTGTTGGGTTTTACATCGCACCAACACAGTATAGGTCATATGGCTACTTTCTAGCTTTACTAGAAGAGGAAGACCTCAGGTGTCCTCCCAAGCATTATTTCAGGCACAAACGGGCACCCTTAGTAGAACCATTGATCTTCCGTAAGCTTACTGGATTGCTTACTCAAATGCTAGAATCCGAAGTCTCTGTCCAGATTCAAACCCACAACTGGGAGGGGCAAGCGGTTTGAAATCAATAGAGGATATTGAATGAGTGTAAGTTCAATACTGAATTTATTGCACGAGTTGAATATGATGATATTATGCGAGCCTCTGGCGAGCATAATACAGAGCTCCAGATAATTTTTTTGGCCAAGGGGTTTTTACCCCTCAAAATTTAGAGTGAGGGGTAAAATGCAAATTCTGAAAAACTTAAGGGGTAAAATCTGTCAAAGAAGCATTTTGCATTTTTTATAAGCAAATTAAACTTGTTGTTTTTGTTTGTTTGTTTATTTTCTTTTTTTAGAAAACCCTTTACAAATAAAATACTGATTCAATGTGAAACAATACAAAACATGCCCTTCAAAGTCAGACTTCCAAAGTATACTGGAACTCAAGTTTAGGATACACAGCAAAATTATCAGGATTTCCATTTTCAAAATTTGGAAGTCAAAGACTTCAAGATCTCTGATATTGGAAGTCACATTATATAGGGCTAGGTAAAGAAGGAAAAGTATTCGATTTTCGGAGGTCACAAGCCAAAATGAAGGAGTAAAGGACTTTCAAACTTCCACTAGTGGAAGCCTTGAAATTATTTTATTTTCTAGGAGTCAATATTTTTCTTTCTTTATTTCTGTTGGCATGTATCTTATCATGTTCTCCAGTTTGAACAATTATACTTGAAATTAAAATTAAATAAAAAATAAATAAGATTTTTTTTCATCTTTCCTTAAAAAAATATTGGTCTGAGAGAACTGTAGACTGGGTACGAAAATATTGAGTACAAAACTGCAGGTGAAAAACATGTTATTTTGTTCCCACAACAAAAGTGAAAGAAATTAAAATATATTTCTGTTTACATTGAGGCATAAGCATGTCAACAGATGCCTAAACAAACTTAATACTATGTTAACTCCTACGATGATTATCTGGCACAAATTTTATCAATAATTTCACAGGTTGATTTACGTGAGTTACCTCCCTTCTGTACTTCCTGCTACTTAAGTTTTTAACTTGCGTTGTTGACAACAGAATTTTTAGTTTTCAATGCAATAAAATGGAAATATATTGTATTTTTATGCTCAAAACATCCTCTTTCTTAATATCGAATGTTTACACTTCTATTCTTTCACGCTTAAATTTTGACATACAAGCGTATTTTCATTTTGTTGTGCGTAACTTTGACGCACAAATTTTGAAAGTGATGCGTATTTTAGATTTTCTATGCGTATTTTACGCTTATACGCACGCTATCTGGAGCTCTGATAATATCATTGTATTCAACAAGTTCAATAACTTCAGTAATGAACTTACACAAATGTAATATTCTATTTATCACATACTCAAAATAAAGACCGTTTAAAATGAAAAAAGATTTATTTTTTATTGACACGTCTATAGTAAATGCTAACATTTAGCGTGTCTTTGTACTATGTTTGCATAACGTTAATGACATCACGTCAAAATATATGCACGGCCGTGCAATATCATTTTTACGGAGTCGCAAAATCGGCACTGGTGTGTGATAAACAACATTAACAACTCGGCTACAAAAGCAGTGTCTATTCTAAGAGGGGTGATGGGGTGATTCACCCCTATTTTTGAGAATTCACCCCTATTTTTTGAGAGGAAGGGGGAAAATTTTACATAGACAAAAGAAGGAAAAAGATCAACAAATGTAATAAATTCTCACTTTTGGATAAAAATCCCCCTGTTTTTCCAATCCTAGAATAGACACTGCAAAAGTATTTGTTTATAAAATATTTTTGCCAGCAGACAGGATAATCTACCTCGGGTGCTCTGTATAAAGGTGTCTGTAGGTCAAAGTCTTTGTAATAGATCGACATCTCCGTGTGAACATAGTTTATTGCATTCCCAAAGTCGACAATATGCACACTGTCAAGGTCATCTTCTGTAAATAGTCATAACAAATTTTGAAAAACTTTTCACCATGTCTTTAAAAATTGACATGCCCTGATTTTTTATTTCCAAAAATTAATGAGGCCACCAGCATAAAGCAATAAGGCCTCAAAATTAGTAAAATTGGCCAGCCAATGAAACTGAATTGTCATCTAGCATAAAAGAATCAAAGATATAATTATAGCTTTATAAACTTCAAGTGAACTGTGGTTTTCTTGAGCAAGAAATTTTACACTCATTTCTTAGTACTGGTAAGTTCCAGGAACGGATTTGAGTGTGTTTCAAGAAGCTTATAGCTTCCATTAAAAACTAAAACAAAATCTGTATAAATTAGTATAGAGCCTGGTGAAAATGAATGAATATGCAGGCTGACCTGGCTCTATACTTGTATCAAAAGGCTCATCACTTTAAATTCAAGCAAGTTTTAAATTCAGTTGAAATGTTGATGAATGTATCAGATTTTGTTATTACCGTATTTAAGTAAAATGTTGTCAGGTTTCAGGTCTGCATGTATCAGGTTCTGCTGATGAAGAAATCCTACAGATGACAGTAAACGTAATCCTATACGCCTGATGTCAGCCAGTTTCTGTAAATTATTCACATTGAACAACAGATCGTTTTACAATAATTACCTCCCTTGCCAGAAGTGGGGTCAATATTTTATTCGATAAAATTGACAAAATACAAAAATCAACATAAACTGCAGATTTTGGTGAATGGTCAAATTCTTTTATACATATTTGGGAAAAAAATGTAACATCACCAATAGGTAAAAGATTTTTCTCAGTTTCATGAAGATGATAGAATTACGATAGATTAAATTTTTATCCTAGGCACATATTATTATTGGGAATGACCCTATTAAACAACTGCTTGGTTGTGAAAGTGGCATTTCTTTTATTTTTGAAGTTGGCATTTTGGAATTTTGATGGGGTTTTATTCAAACTATAAAGGGGCCTTCATAACGACCCTGTTATATAGTGGGGGGAAAAATAACCTAATATATAGTGGGGGGAAAAAAACGGATTTAAAAATACTCACCTTTCGATCTGGAATGTCATTGAAGACAAATGACAATGGCTTTGGTATCATTGGTTCAAATACAAGGCAATAATGGTTATCAAATGCAAATGTCGTCTGTAAAATAAATGTACAAGAAGGTTAGAGATAGTGCTTTTGTTAGTATTTAGTGAACATGATTCATACTCTTCAACAGGATACAAGCTCAATTTCACAACAACAAACTCTGGCACAAGTGATTTTTTGTTTGTTTTACAACGCACCAACATAGTTTATAGGTCATGTCCCGACTTTCCAGCTCTACTGGATGCAGAAGACCTGGGGTGTTATTTCATGCACAAAAGGATGCCTGAGTAGAACCACCTGGAATCACTTGCTCTCTTCAAAGAATGCCAAGATGCTTGCTCAGCTTGAACCCCTTCAGCGGTGAGAGGCAAGTGGTTTGAAGTCAACAACCTTAACAATTAAGCTAAGCTCTATTTCTCAACAACAAACTCTGGCACAACTGCATTAATTGGGGATTTTTCCCTATTATTTTCTATTCCTTTTCCTATATTATGGCAATAAGCTCAATATATATTACATTCAGTGTGATAAATACACTGTTGTCAATAACCCCAACTTTTGTGCTATGCTAAACAGTTTTTCCTAACTTTGGTTAGATCTTAAACCATTGCCTTTCTCAAAATAAAGACAGTCTTTGCATAACTAAATGCCCATAAGTGTAAAATGTTACTTTGAAAGAACTTACCAATAATCTGACAGTATGGGAATGGTTGAGGGGATCAGCCTGTGCTAAATACGATAATATTTGGCTTTCCTGCGCTCCAAGGTGGAAGAAACGAGAATGTAAAATTTTTATCACAACTGTCCGATTTGAAAATTCATCCTATAAGTAAGAACAAAAGATTTTACAAAATGAAGGAGAAATGTCAAAAGTCACTGTTCAATAATGGAATAAACATAGAATAAATTTTCAAATGATCTTAGCTGTCTAAATATCCACAATTCTTGACTCTTTTGCATTTTGCAGATTATAAAATCACTATATATCTTTTTGAATTTATCAACAGCTGTTGATGTGAAAGGACCCTGGACTTCCCTCAGTGCTGTATAGTAAAACACAGGTTAATAAGTTAGGTATTGCGTTATGTTAACCAAATTGTGTAGACTGACCCACCAATACAGAAGTTTCTCACTCTACACTAGAAATGACCATCCAGTGATTTGTAAAGGCCAATATGTGGACAAAATTCAGCCCCATTTGAATTTTTCTTTCTCCAAAATGAATTTATTTTTCTGAAAAATCTTCACTCAATTAAAAAAAAAATATTTTTTTTGGTATCCATTCTATTGAAAGATTTGAAATATTAATGCTTTTGTACAAAATTTAACATAAAACTAACTGTTTTATTCACCCTATTTTCCCTGAACAACAAAAATATCCCCTCAATGAGCCTTGCCATCATACCTCTTTGAGTGAAAAGAAAACAATACACTGTTTAATCATTATCACCTGTAATTTTCAGAATTTTGAAGTTTTAAAACTAATTTGCGTACCAGTGCTCGGACTAAAACTGCCGTCTGTCCTTCAACATCTAAAGTCTCCATCACAGTATACCTTGACCCAAGTACACATTTTCCTTTCGGATCAAACTGCCCCTGGAGATTAGTGTAACAACCTTCTGAAATAGATAAAAAATTCCAGTACAACCTTTACCCCAGATGAATTTTGGAATGGAATTTTTCTGCTCTAATTCTGGAACTTTCAATCATCATTTTTAGATTGCATAATCAAAATACTAAAACTGATCAGCTGTTAGCTCTGCCAACATACCTCAGTCTATTAACCAGATTTTTCTTTTGAAATAGAAGTTGGACAATAGGTAAAAGATATATTTATATATATTCAAACTGTAAAAATGAGCTTAGTAGTTGTAACTTGACACAAATTTGGGATAAAAATTTTATGGAAGTATAGGCTATTACTTTATACTCTTGATTTTATATTTATGTCGTAAATAACTCTACCTTAAAATACTTAACTAGCACTTTTCCCCCCAAATAAATTGCAATGTTTTCCACAGGAAAGTTTAACTACAATACAAACCAGATAACTTTGGACGGCCATCTATCTTTATACGCTTTAACAATCTCTGTAACCCACCAGTCATACAGGGAACCACATGAATCTGGGGAGGAGCAAAGTTCCATGGTTCATTAGTCAACCTGTAAAATTCACTATAATAATTATTTTGGTATTAAAACACATGCTTGATATAATTGGGACATTGATACATAGGTAAGAAGTGACCAAAGAGACAGGTTCACTAATTAGGTAGAACGTTTGACTATGAATCAGGCGACTGAGTGATTGATTCCAAAACGTCATGGAGCTAAATAAAGAGGGGGAAAAAAACTTTGACGTCACACAGTTAAATCGAGTTTCGGCGGATAGTGTTCACATTAATGATCATACATGACGTATGTCGTGGGATTTTCCGAGATGTGGTACATCGACAAAAAGACAAAGCATTGTCTACAAATATAAGAAGCAATAGTTCTTTATCGTAAAACATACAAAACACACTTTTCCACGCAAATATTTCTCCACCAAAAATCCATGTCGGCAAATAACCAATGTAAACAATAATTCAAGGATAATACAACGAATTTTAACGAGAGCGAAAATATATTAGAGACAAGCCGTATAAACCCCACTATCACAGAAGGGCTCAAAGGATTGTGGGTCTGAGTCTGACTACTGTATCCATTGTATACATCTGTGTAGACATGCAGGTGTGACACTTTGTGACTGATCATGAAATCCTTTCTACAATCGTTCTCACTGTAAACACTGCTCTGACATGCTATATTGAAGAATTTAGTTCACAAATAATGGTATCGTCCGGTCATGTGTTTTGACGCCATTTTTGTTTTGACCTAAGAAAAGGTGTCATTTCATATGACTGTAATCAACAATGGATGCCTCCAGGGTCTGTTTACTTAAGTACAAAACTTAAGTGATTTTGAACTTTTAACAAACATAAAAAAGGTTTGCAGTGATAAACAACATGCCATAGTAACTTTATATTGTATTTTATTTAATGATCAAATTAAATATAAAAAATGCACTAGTTAAACAGCTTAAGGGCGTCAAAACTAATGACTCTTGTTTTCCATGCCTTTGTCAGGAAATTCTGCGTTTGTGCACTTATGAATTACAAAACTTACTCAACATTTTGGGAAATTAGACGTGAAGTGCATTGTTCAGTTGGGAAAAAATTGGGAACAACCTCTGTATACATAATTTGCATGTAGATACATACGTTCTTGGTGACTTGAACGCTGACGTCTTCATATTTGCGGCATAATTATCAGAATTTATTAAAATTCTTTAACATTCGCGCCATTTCCGGCGTTTCAGTAAATTTATTTACCGTGATTACAACTTTTACTAGGTTCCAAAGAACTAAATGTATAGTCAAATATTTTAGTTCGATTGTGTTGGAAGCTATAAGCTTATCTTAACACTCTCAAATTCTTTATTAGGCCTAAGCAGCTAGAATATATAATAGTCCGATTTCAGAGGATGCTTATTTTCCTTTATTATGTTTTAAACAGCGAAAATGTTCAAAAGGAAATAAAAAGGATTAACAGGGATATAACACCCCAGTTACACAGAGCCATCGGTGATTGATCGGTAGTTTTTTTAGCCAAATTATGTAGTGAACCGATGACAACGTATTTAACACCGATATCACCTATTGGTCACCTGTTTTCCACCTATCAACTGCTATTGGGGAAAGATAAGTTTCATCGGTGAAAAATTACCGATTGGGAATTTTAAACATGGTTAAAATTCTCAATCGGTGAAAATATTTTACAAATAACCGACAGCAACCTATATGCAAGCTCTTAATCACCGATATCGCCGATCGGACAAAGATAACCAAATATGAATCACCGGCCATATCTGACGGAAAGTGTTTAACCAGTGATGACTAGCTATCAAACACCGATTAATCAGCGTTACGCCCGATTTAGCTCCGATTTACAAACGATGAAAACCGATAGTATTTCAGCATTTTAATCATCGACCCAACCCCGTTTGAGTTTGCTTTCTGTCACCGATGGCCGTTTACACAGAAAACCAGAAAAAATCACGCATAACAACCGATCATTACAGCGAGTAAATTTAAAATTAAATGACCGATTTGGGACCGACCGTCTGTGTAACTGGCCCCTAAAATCAGGACACTTTTCTTAGAAATATATATCATAAAGATATACTGCAAGACTGATAATAATTATTCACCATCCACCATTATCTTTCAAAAATTAAAAATAATTTAGTACCGTGTGACCCCCCCCCCCCCTATTTTTAATACAAGCAAATGCATATTAATTCGTGAACCAAATGTTTCTTCTCCAGCGTATACAACATCAATAACGAAAAGTTACAGAAATGAAGGCAATGATTCGTAAATATACAATTATTACATCATTAATTAGCATGCTAATTCGCTAATGGTATTTAAGTATTCAATTATCAAGTATATAGGGTTTTCAGCAAATTATGACGTCATTGCTATGATAGATATCAAAAGCTATGTCCTTTTAGTCATAGAATAAGATAAAACCTTTTAAGTTATATAAAAAAATCAGTACCGTAATACGGTATGTCTTCATTTGAGATAGGCACTACAAGTCCAGGACAGACGAATGCTGAAACCGAATACATGTACTTGTTACCAATCCATGTGCAAATCTGATTTCAGGATGGAAAGGGTATTAATCGTGCCAAGTAATAACATCAAAATAGAAGAAGGCAGGAACACGATGAAAGAAAAGGAAAATGACACACAGAATGTAAACATAGAAGATAATTCTAACAACATTGACAACTTACATGACGTTTGTGTTCGCGATGCTTTTGATTGCAATAGGGAACGTTATGGTGTTCGCTTTGGGAATAATATATGCGACCATCGTAATGAAGTTGATGGCAATGAAGATTTGAATATTGGTGGTGATTGTGAAGCCAAAGTTATTGACGATGTTGATGACATGGAGTACGGCGATTTTGGCTGAGCTTTTGGAATCATGAGGATGTACTGTAACAGTGAACTGCATGTTTATTGAATGGTAAGTTTTGAGCTTGATATAGACAGTTTGAAAATTGAAATCTATTCGCATCCTAGTATTAGCTAAACTAGTGTACGGCCGCTCACGACTCAAAATAATTGATGGTCTTGAATTTGGAAAATTCTATATAAATATTATAAATTTTGCCAAGTTTTCCATACAAATAGATATGACATTTTTGTAAAAAGAATAACTTGCATAAACTTGTAAATAAAAAAGGAAGATTTATTTGAAGTGATCTTCTAGACGAAAAAAAGTACCAAAAAGATATCAACTGTAATGTCTTTTGTAGGGACACGCTGATGATAAAGCAACTATACAGACAACCTAGAGATTAGATAAACCCAGGAAAAGGGCTGACGAAGAAAAAAAACTTTCAGAATATTGGTTATACGCATGGCACTAATTATGTTCAAAAACTACTTTTTACATAATATTCTTGTTTCGTCATTTCTGCCGGCCGTACTGTAATTATACGTTCATGCAGCAATTTTAGGTTTTTGTAACTGAAACATTAACGCAAAGGTAAAGTGAAATAATGCAGGAATCAAATTATTTTTGAATATTAATTTTTATTCTAGGAATGCACTGAACGACATATGCAGCAATAAAGAAAGTAACGACGAATGTACCAAAACTGTTTTGACAAATTAACTGATTTCAACGATATGTTGTTAAAAAAACATTTCGTTCGTTCGTATAAAGGAAATATAACCCACATTAAGTCGAAATTTACCTAGTTCATGTCAACATTATGTTATTTACATAGAAATACGTCAATAATTTTCTGCTGACTGAGGTCATGAAATTAATAATGGAGAATTATCTACGAAAAGGCCAAACAGTATTACTAAAAGGAAGTTGGAGATGTCATTAAACGAAGTCAATTCGTTAGTTTCTTCGGTTCATTAATTCGTATTATTAGTATTAGATTGAATAACAGTGTTACCAATTTAACGAAATATTGCATTGAACTTTTCGTACAGTAAAACAGTACAATATACATATCAATGTCCTCGACGCTGATCACTCTATGGCATAACACCTGATTTACAATGATCACTAAATTAAGCTGAAATAATTCTTGGAGGGTGATATATTTAATGTCGACATAAAGGAAACATATAGCACGTGTATATATTCTTTACCAGTCAATAAAAATAATATAAAAAAGGTTCTTAGTTACGCAAGTAACTAATTTGTGCACAAGGGATTTTCATGGTCGTTCGCTGCCGTACATCTAATATTTTATGTGGTGGCGGAGTTTAATAAGTATTTTTTTACGAGTCTGCTTTACATTCTGAGCAATTATGACGTCAAGTCTATATGAGCCGCGTCACGACAAAACCAACATAATGTGTTTGCGACCAGCATGGATCCAGACCAGCCTGCGCATTCGCGCAGTCTGATCAGGATCCATGCTGTTCGCTATCAGTTTCTCCACTTGTTGTAGGGTTTGTAAGCGAACAGCATGGATCCTGATCAGACTGCGCGGACGCGCAGGCTGGTCTGGATCCATGCTGTTCGCAAACCCACCATGTTGGTTTTAACGCGGCTCATATCTAAAGTCGGTATTCTTTGAGTTAATCATACGATTTCTCTCCTTATTGCAAACGTTAACTGCTGTGTACTTTCTGAAACATGCCAGAGGGCTCAGATCCGTGGAGTTGGGCGACCATTCCTGGTCAGTAGGGAATGGACTTCTACCTATTTTTTTCATAGCCATTTATGTACATTTGTAAATCATCAGAGTAAAAAGAGGAGAGAGATGGCGTTATTTTAAAATTACTTGCCTTTTAAATACGAGTATATAACTATAACTTATTTTCAAAACTAAAATTTTAAATTTATTACAGTTTGTATCAAAAGTCATTATTTCAAAGAGTTATTTCAGCAGTACAAGATTTAAATAGTATAATCTAATTATTAAATATCTAAATATCTTATATAAAAGACCAGACGTCAAACATTTTTTACAAAATAAATACCATTTGTACATTGACTGGAACAATGTCAGTATTTTCTACTTTAGCAACAAAAAAGACATCCATATTTTGTATACTTTAGCTCGAAAATTCTGTAAAAAATGTATTCTGACAAAGGTTCGTTAAGAAGCGAAACCGGTAGCTAGATTATTAAATTATTCAACCTGCACTGGTGATAACGTGTTATTTTTCATCATTTTTATCTTATTTTGATCATTCGTACATGTACAATAATAAGAAAGGTAAAAAATGTATACTAGTATATAAAATACATTTTTGGTGTATTTCTTTCAGTCATGTTAAAATTTGAAAGGAATACATGCATATATTTCATTTTTATGTTATATTAACATGAACCCCCGTGCATTATTTCACTCTCACACTATATAGTTAGCTCACATCTTGTAACTCTCTCATATATATTTTTATGAGTAGATTATTTTATACTCGTGCACGTTACTCTCACATGACTTTTTAAGAAGTGCGCGTTTTCGTGCGCAATAATTCAATTAAAATCGCATTAATTTCACTTACTGTGTACCCATAAACTTGCATAACATGTCTGGGAATAAATCATTTCAGTTATAAATGATACCGTATCTTTTGTTCATTTCTTTCAAGATCGCAAGTTCCCTGTGTGGTACGGCCACCCACTAGCAAAATTTTGACAAATGCTAATTTATGATTTTTCTTGTATACCACCAAGGAAGAAAATTCACTTAAAACGCCTATCTGTTAAACACGGCAGGTAAGCCGAGCCTAACGATTACAGATTTACTGCTGCTATTGCCCTGTTTCTCCTTTTGACACTTCTGTTATTGTATTTTCATTCGCTTCTTTTCAATACTTTGAGTTAATTACGCAAGTGAAATGTCTAATAATAGAGTCTGACATATATTGTTAACGTATGGATCACTCAAGAGAGCAACTAAATTTGAAATATTTCACTGAAAACAAAGTCAATTTTCAAGGAGATGTCTAATTGATCTAACAGTCCTCGTATTATTCTCAAATGAATCATGGGATACGTTTTTGTCTTATATTTCAGAGAGAAATATTACGAGGAATTAAGAAATGGCATCTCACAGTTGCTTAACACATTGTCTTGACGTGCTGGGAACATCTCCTTTTTACTGTGTAATAATTTGATAAAATTTTAAACAGAAATTTTCGGGTGACATTTTTGGCGGGTTTTGTAATGCAAGAACTAGAATTCCCGCGAAACTATCGTCTGAGAACCGACATCAACTTCAGATTCCTTCATTTCCAGTATAGAGTAAAATAAGATAATAAAATATAGGGAAAATGTAACGTAAATGTACGTTTTAAATGAAGAATATCGAAACTGGTATAAGTGTTGATATTGCAATAGAAAGACCGCAGAGAAAGACGAGATTCGTATGCATCCTCATCGAAGGCATTGAAATGCAGATAATAAATCGATCTCTGATTGTCTATGACAGATTGTTTCCAAGAATGTGCACGCGCCACTGTCGCGTGCCTTTTGGAAAACATTTTTACGTAGAGCACATTTAGTCTGTCGCCTGGGTGACGCGTAAATAAAAACGTGCGCGTTCGTGTTCTGCGAGAAACTGGCGCGTTATCAAATCGTTATCTTAATTTTGTCGAAATTTATTACACCAATGTTGATAAACAAGAGGAAGCTCGGATGTCAAATAAATCAAAATATTGACGGTCATCAAAAATAATAGTTGCGGTGTACCAAATATATAGACAATCTTTACCACGAGCTGCCTGAAGTCTGCCCATAATTGAGCTATTGTGGTGAGCATGAAAGTGATAACAAAAGCGAGACCAATTTAGATTTGGAGGTAAGAGAATTAATCATTAATTGAATACTAGAAATGCCAATAACTGTTGGAGTAGATTATAAAGTAGCACTTCAACAGGAGAAGAAATCGGACACAGCGACTACATTAGGTTTATCTCTGTTTATTTTCTATGAAAAAAGTAGTCAGCAATAATAGAGCCAGACGGCGTTTTTTTCTTCTCTCTCGGATTAACCTGTTCTATTTGATGAAATGAATAGGTTCTGTTTAACTGATTAAACACACTATTTTGGTGCTATTTTGATTTATAATTTCTTAACAAGAGGGAAACGTTTTCTTTAGTAGTTCATAAGCTTTTCTAAACATATAAATGTACATGTATAAAGAAGAAACTATAAACAAGAAGTGATTAAACTTTCAATAAATATGCGATAAAACTAATAAATCATAAATGCCCATGAAATATCAAGGGTCACGATTCTAGGAGTTGAAACGCCTTAGATTTTTTTCTAAAATATGTGCCAATGATACATTTTTTTATTCCTAACCATATACAGTATAACTAATCATATCTCTCTATATACGTAAATGCAAAAAAAAATATGAATAAACAAAATAATAAAACACTATTTAATAGAAAATAGCAAATAGAATTAGAGGAATGAAAAGAAAGGAAGAAAAAAAACCCTAATCATTACAAAATCAGACTGATTGAATCTCCATAATACAGCTTCCGTCGCCAACAACCCCCTAAGCACCGCCTTAGACACAATTCAGATTTCAGATATCAGTTCCTTTAAGACACGAGCAGGCACCTGTGTAGAACCACCGACGTTCCGTAAGCTAGTCGGATAGTTTCATGGCATGAAATAATTCAAAGTCCTGATAGCTAAGTAACTAGTCTATTTCAGTGGAACTAAATGAAACGTATAAATGTATAGAAAAGATTCTGTAATTCGGTATAGACGATCCTAAACTGATGCGCTCGTTATTGGTTTTTTTTCTGGTTTAATTGTTATTTAATTAATTGCTAAAAGTGTAATTTGTGCCAAAAGAAAAGAATAAAAACATCCACATACAGAAACTCTTGCAGATAAAAATGTATACCATGTTGCTTAAAATGATTATTACATAATTATATTAATAATGCGATTACAATTATACTCATTATATTACTCCAAAGACGAATTTTTCCCACGCCCTACAGACAAAGTAACATCGTATGTAGTATCTGCCGATGATCAGGTGATGCCAAGACATGCTGGCATAAAACCACAAAATGAACGCTGGAAACCACAGACTTTCTGGGTATTTTGTATCAGCGTGTGCTCACCTTTGGCCACTTTCCCAGTATAAAATGCTTCTTTGCTTCTATGCTTCTTTCTTTCGGAAATGTTCTACTGACACAAATACAAAAAAATCAAGTGTACTTTTTATATGAACAGCAGATTATTATTAGATTTCGGACGCAAATGTTTTTCATTTTAAGCTGAGATTAACAGTATTTGTAAACATATGTGCTTACAGAATATTCTCACAATTATTTCCATCTTACTAATGCTTTGCAAAACTTATAATGTACAAATTTAAAGTAAATTTAATATAGTATATTTATTTTAATCGACAAAGGGGGGTAAATAGGGAGGGTATATCGTGACACCAATACGCGACTGAGTATTTCTAACATTAAGTTATGTTACTTTGTAGGTAACAGTACTTTCTTTAAGAAAAACGTTTTTTTATTAAAATTAATGAATTATTGTAATTAATAATTGAATTATGTAAATGATATTTCATATTTTACCGTATCATTGCCTTTTTCAGTTAAGTCAAATTCATGTTACTTGAAATGAAATACGTAAATAATAGTACACTTACATAAAAAGAAATATATTTATTTCGCTTAACTTATAAACCATTTAAGATGTTAAATTTGTCTTTGTTAGCAATGTTTCTTTATTACATTATAAAGACGTAGAAAATATAACTGAACTTTACTATCGCTCTTTTGCAATACTGATTTTCTAATGAAACACCGCCGTGAGAAATATGTAAATTTTGCTCCGCCTCTTTTCACGCACAACCGGATTTATTTATAGTGCTGATGACTGTTATTCTAATTGGTCGATAAACGACAACGCCTATTTTCCCAGGAGCTTAAACGTAGAAAAAATAAGTGTTATGATATCATATCAAATGTTACACTACAGTGAGACGGGAGTTATTTGTAATTTATACTATACTACGTGCCATATTATCATAAATTGTGCTTGGATTATAACATAAGAGTTGTACGCTGCGTTGTATATTACTTTACGTGATTTACTATTTTAAAGTAGTATTGTTAATTTCATTTAAAAATTCAATAAGTTGGATATAATGTAAGAAATGGAGACGAATAAAGAGGACACAAATCCCAGCGCTGAATCTTTGAAAATGGGGAAATGCCCGCTGCTGCCAGCTATTACAGGCAACAAGCGGGATAGTGGGTACGGAACAGATGTGAATTCCCCAGCGTCCCAGTCATCCGGTACTTCGGTTCCCCGACAGTTTGTATTTGGAAGTTGTGGTACAGACGTTGATATATCCGAAACCCTAGAAGAAATGGATATAAACGATAATGAAGATGTATTTCCTAAATGTGACGAAGAGCGTCACAATGAGGCATCTGATCAAAACGTCGATGATGACAACGATAAAGAGGTTGAAGAACTCTTCGGTGAGAGTTGTGAACTTGACCATTCTGTTTCGGAACCAATAGCAATACAAAGACCACAAGCGCCCATTCCAACACCTGAAGGAATCGATGATGCCAGAAACATGGGCTGGGCTCCGTTAGAGAACAGTGAGGACACGTCCGTGTCCGAACCTTTATATTTAAATTCATGGACGAGAAAAGACCGTCAAAGAAGACGGTTTCGTCCAATAGCTAGTCGCAACTTTGGTACACAGACTCCAAGTCCGAAAGATCAAGAATTTGGCCAGTTGGGCCCGAATTCTAAAGGTAAAACGCTACAGATATTAAATATCATATCATATAAGTTTCAATGTTACATCATCTCTTGGTCCATGAATTTTTAGTCTTTTATTAAAGAAACTTCAATGAGTTTTTTTTTTGACATGACGTGTACTTGAAATATTTTTTTCCAAGACTTGTGTCCCATTTGATGTAGGTCTGGATCATTCCCTCCATGTTTTTTTCCTCTTCAAAATAATCGATTTTATTGCCCAAAATGTAAAAAAAATCATAAAAAATTGCAAAGTCTTTCAAAAATCGCACAAAAATCGATATATAATTTAATTTTGAGTAATTTTACTATATATGTTATAAAATATTATCGTATTCAGATTTTTCCATTTAAAGTGCTTCACTTGATCTATGTAAGAATTTCAAATTACATGTATGTGTTTTTAGGCTTTTTAATCTCAATTGGACTCTTTTAACGTTGGGAATTCGTTTTTATAGATTCATATTCAATTATATCTATTGTGGTATTTATAATTTCACCAAGTCTAAAACATTGTTATCAAACCAATGTTATGTTCATAATTTTGTTGCCCATAAATACTTTGCATGGGGCAGACTTGGTTCAGGGGTGAAAAAATGCACTAAATAATGCTCATAATTTATATCTACAAACAAGTTTTCATATAGTTGTTTTTGCTGTTATTTTAGCATTATTATGCTCTCGTATTTTTAAATTATTTTAATAAAATCATTCATAATTGCATAATATTAACATTTTTATAAACAAAACACGCAATTACTAAATAATAAATGCAATCTAAACATACAAAAAACTTTCGAATATTCAAATCATTCGGGCTAGGTTATTGAAATTGTCATTAAAATCACGGCTTAAATCATACCCCACTTGCAAGAAAAAGTGTGCGCATGTTAACAATCTGTCATTTACTCATGGGTATTAAAAGATATCATTCGAAAGCGTGGCAAAGATAAACCGGTTCTTGATAAAGGCGTGCATGTGAACTACGCTCGTTTTCGTTAGACACAGTAACTATGCAACTTGGTGACATATTAATAAACAATCTGATATCTACTGTATTAAGATAACCCACCTGCTAAAGAAAAAAAATAGATGTGATGTTTATAGATCTTCACATAGCATGGTTGACACATCTGCAGTTCTCTAATTCGTTAAACTGAACTTAGAAGAAGAAAAAACACACTTTTTACGCACGCACAATCAGACCTTATTTACAACTTTTCTGCCCCGACACTTGAAATTGTTGGTTTTCGCGTTTTCTCTAAGTTAATTTCAAGGAGCACTTCCGAAAGTCATAATGAGTCATTACTGATTAAAGTGTAGACAATTTAACGAGAGCGGAGACCTCTTAGGAAGCCCGCGGCAAGGAAGACTGCTTACATCAGATTCCGAAAATAAACCAGACATGTACGTCTGAGCAGACGATAAGTTTGTTTTGCAGGTCACATTGAGCTGACACGATAGTAAATTTACAATAGTGAAGTTTAATCAGGTGTGAATTTCATTGAAGATCAATGATTAGGTAGACACCAGGGGTGATAAATTATCAAATGTAGATTTAAATTTGCCTTTAACGAACATATAAAAAGTTTGAAGACGATTTAAGGCCGAAACATAATAATTACGCAGTTTGATAAATCATATAGTTATTACTTTGTCATAAAAAAAGAAAACCTCAAGTGTTGAAGGAAAGTGGTTAACCAATTAATTCTGTTATATCGTCAGGTTTCATTAATTATCTTGTCTACATTATCGTGAAAATATTATAAAAGATCCCTTCATATATATAACGATTATTCTAAAAAAAAAACAGATACAATTTCATTTGACATTGATTTCTGTTATCTTATTCTTTCAAGACAGGAACAAAAATAAAACATTTGATTGTTTCTAGTCTCCGCATTATTGGCACACTTGAAATAGACTGCGGTTATGGTTATTATCAGTTCATTAGTTGGTTCAAAAACGAGAAAGCCATTTATATCCCTTTGATAACGATCCAGTGGCAAATGTTTAAAGTTTATAGAGTGCAAAAAACAATTTGCGCATTTGGTTTGATAGCACACGCTTATTACGTGTTTTTGTTCTTTATGGTCTACTTTTATCATCTTTTTTCTCTCTCATCATTCCTTTTCATGAAGGTCATCTATTTCTTCTTTTTCTTGATTTCACAAACAACTTGAATTTAGCATTATTCTTTTCGGCATCTATATCATTTGCTTTTTGTTCGTGTTGGTTAAGTTTCTTCTTATATATCAATTCGACTTTTTTATGCAACAGATTTAAGAATTTTTGTTGTTGTTTTCTCTTTATATAAGAATATTTAACTTTAGATCATGTGCAGTCTTTCTTTTTTCCATCAACTATTTTTTATCAAATGTTTTGTTCTTATTATCATCACCAGGTAGATCGAGGCGACCTCTTAGGTTGCGGTGTGAGTCCGAGTCGTCCGGGGTTGAAGAATATCATCAGCATCTCCCGGATCTAATTCCCCAACCTCGGGATAGATCAGTGTCACTTCCATCGGTTCCTTCTTTTCGTATGCAAGAGCAAGAAGTTGGCAGAGAGTTACGAAGAATCTCGGATGAGTTCAACTCGTCTTTTACACCTTTCAGACGGGTACGTTTATCATCAATTACAGTAGGGTATTTAATCTGTGCTACAGTTAAGATGATACGAGACAGTGAGACTTTTTGAATATGATTTTGATAAGGTAATAAGTTGGATGAAAACTGATATATACAAAACTTTTGATTTTTTAATGTATTTAAATTAGTCGTTTATGAGGGGTTCATAATGTTGAAAATAAGTCAAAGTTGTGGAAAATTTAAAATAGGACGGCAGAGATTAATAGATTCAGTGTTTATTTGATATAAGCGTGCTTTACAAGTTTACATCTTCTATAGTAGGCTATAATGTTTAACATATATATAGGACAATAAAATAATGCGCAGTTAGATAGTACGACTGTGTAAAATTGAGGCTATTTTATAGCGAAATACATGTATTTATTTTGACAGTGTTTGAAGGGCTTTCAGTGTAGATTATTCAATACATACATGCAATAAAAGCAAATAGTCATAAAACTGATAAAACTATAATATGGCGAAGAAAATATATTTGATAATACTTAAACAGGTCTAGATTTTTCTACTTTAAAATGGATGCCACTTTTTTTAACATAATCGCGATTTCTGAAAAAAATAAAAATTCTTTTTTTGTGTGGAAAATAGTTTATAGTTGCCAAATGTAGTAAAAACGTGACGAAATACAAAATTTAAATTGTTGTCAGCAGAGATAAATGTATGCCTGTACTACATGTACATGGTGACTTGAAAGTTTAAATTCAGATCAATAATTAGTCATATCAGATATCAGGTTAAACTAGTATCTGATTTGATAAATAAGTTATAGACGGGTTATTACCACATAAGTTTATCGCTATTCACAACGGCGAATCAAATTAAATTTTGGCACGATGCCAAGTGGGAATTTCATGACTTTAACTCCATTATGTTATTTCCTTATTATCGTATTGTTAACAGATCATAATGTTTTTTTAAGAGTCGCAATTAATGATTAAACAGTATTTGAGAATAGAACGCTTACATATTGAAGTGTTGCCAATATCAATTGGAAATAAAGTAGCTGCCTACTTCATTCCTTTGTGCGTATTAAATTATATTACAACGCCTCTTGAAAAACAGTAAAAATACAAGGCCTGAACAAACGTCTACATTGATTGACACTCGTATTGTGGTTGATAATGTTATAGTTGAAGCACTTGAAAATAAGCGGTATAAATGCAAAACAAAAAACTGAACTTTTATAATCATTAAGTTACCATTCACTCAGTTAAGTTAATAATTAAGTTATCATTAACTCAGGAACTTGATATTTAATCAATAAATCACAAAATATACATATTTATATATCTCTATCGATAGAGATAAGGGCTATATCATTAATATACGTATACATGTGATTTATTGATTAAATGTGCATTTTGTCTGATAAGCTTTCCCTTGCTGTCTGATGAGAAAAATACTTAAATGATTGTATGGTCACGAAATTATTTGATCGATGTTTAATCTATTAAAACATGTAGAACCTTTATAGACCTTTATTGCCTAAAATTCAAATTTAATTTTAAAATGTCTAGGTCTATTTTAAAATGTTAAATTCATTCACGTTCGTCATTTAAGTATATATAATTTTTATAAGTACACAAAGTGTCAAACATAAGCAAGACTGTACTCTTTCCTTAGAAGCAAGTTTAATGGTTCAAAGATATGTCTCTTTGATATGTTTTGTGTAAATGATATCTTAAAATCTTTGTAGCGTTTCATTGGATTTTAAACTTCATTTTGTTATTTATTCATGAATTTTGATCATGCAATATAAATTTCCTAAATAAATCATGTTCTGAAGTTGTAATTAAAACAGTTTTATCGACGCTAGAAAAATTGGCCAATCAAATTAGTTCATATCCCTGTGGTTTTTTTATCATTATCAGTTTCAAACTAAACGTATTGTTAGATGCTATCAGGGTTCATTTACATGTTGGTATTACGTTTTTGTTGATGTCAGCATGAAGTTGATAATTATTATTTTGATACATTTTAATTTGATATTCATATAAAACAAGCAATTCCCAGGAAAATATTTTAAAATGTAGTTTGTAACGGTGTTGGATCAAGGAGTTTTTTTATGGCAGTATTGGAAATATTATAATACAATTACATAGTTTATAAAAATTATGTCGGTACAATTTTAATATTTCAAGGCCATTTTCTGGAGGATCTCTTTTGTACTTTTATCATTTAAAGATAAGTATTTTAAATTGTGTTGATAAACACTCAATTTGTATAAGGTGCCTTTGAAAGATCAATAGATATTTATGTAACAGTGTAACCAAATGGAAGTTTCGTATTATCTAACTTTGATATACATATAATGTTCTTGCTGATAAAACTCGTTTTACTTTGTATTTTAGCGAGAAGCGATTCCAGAACATTCATCGTCTTTTCCACGACAAGTTAACATCAACATACAAGCATGTTGGACTAGATTGCGACGCATTGTGTCAAGCAGTTCATTGGAACAAGACCAAGATGACACCCAACCATTCGATCCTTCTTTCGAATGAAGTCCACGGAGGAGCCGTTGTAAAAGTTTTACAAGTATTGTGAACGATATATTACGAAGACAGTAATTAAAACTCGTAATTAGCAATCGTCTAAGTTTTTGATGACATAAAATGAAAATGAATAGATGGTGCTGAAAAAATGAGTCTGAAAAAGTTATTGAGAGTGTTGGTTGGGGGTGAGCATAAAGTCTGACATTATATAAAAAGGAATGAAATAAGTAAGAAAGTGTTGCTTCACGTTTAATTGGGTGTGGAACACCTGAATGGTCATGCATATTAGTTTAGATTCAGCTCATGAAGCCTCAGTTAGTTATCTTTCCCTTATTCTTTGCTCAGACGTTGTTTTACACATTTCAGGCGAATTGGACAATTATATTCTTTTATTCATAGATTGATCTCAATTGTTTCGGTACATTCTTTATGCATGCCCATGATGCCTTACCAGCTTCTTCGTATATTGATCTCCGTGTCTTTGTATTGCTATTGTATTTATATATTTATGCAACGATATGATGACGATGAGAACAAGTTTGTTCTCAGTATTACGGAAGGACGTGCGACAAAGATGCTTCAATGAGTGCATTGTAAATGCCGATTACCGAGCCATTTTGATTTATGATTTGATATACACTGTATTTGCAAAAAGACGAGTTTTTCTTTGGAATTAATGCTCATGAGGCACAATTAACTGTTTCTGTTTGTAATTAATGTAAATTGTACATTCAAATTATTTTCATTCCGCCATTTTCAGTCTTTTTATTTTAGTACTGGTGTTTGTTCTTTTTACTTTGTATATACATGTTCATGTATATCTCTGCATTTACAGGAGAAAATTGTATGATAGTTTTGGTGCAACATGGCGGATTTAATTGGTGCAAAAATTATTTGTGCTATTTTTAGAAATTTTCAAGGTCCCTGTAGTTCACCGTTATTTGATTTGTATATTTACCAAACTATGACGTATTACGTTTGTTATTATTTTATTTTTTGTTCGTTAGTAAATGTGTTAAATTGCATAGCAAATTTTATTTGTTTGAGTAGTATTTCCGGGCAGTTTTGGTGCAATATCTTATGATCTCCACATTTTTTTTTACTGTTTATTGTTGTAAAAAAATAATCAATGGAAACTTAAATATGCAAGAAAACAAACTGTGGTATGTCCGTAGATACATTAACAATGAGTTTAGAAATACTATTTTACCTAGTCTTTTACCGAATTTGTTCATATATCAAATGGTATTTGCTTATTGATAAAATATTAAACGTGGAAGGAAAGAGTTTAAAAAATACAAAAAAGATACATGTATAACATGGATTTGTGTTTTTATATAACCTAACCTCATAAAAGAAAACACTATTCATTTTCTCCTGGTTTGTTAATCTTAATGTGGCAAATATTTTTTTGTGGGTAAATGGAAATTTTGTTTCAGTCTGTGCATGGAGTTCACGTGTTAATCACCATTTTCTCTCATGTTTGTTTGTTTTTATCATTCATTTTGTTTTCATGAAATAATATTGATCTCAAATATATTAGTCCGTGTGATATGTATGCTTGTTTTTTTCTGCCAAACAAGAAGGAACATATTTGTTTGTTATTTCTTGCAAAATACGGAGGACGAAAATTATGTTATTAAAAGGTTGATTCTTTTCTTTTTTGGGGTTGTAGTTTAAGTGATGATATATATTTGTTTTAATCAAGGAAATATGTTCTTTCTTGTTTCATTGCCATTGCGTAGTATGTACATTTTCTACTTTTGAAGTCATTATGATTAAAAGAGTTGACATGCATTTGTAAATGATTGTAAAGTCTGGTATGAGACAAAGGAACTTTTACTGTCGCGTATCATTTATTTATTTTAAAAAGTCAAAAGAAAACATTATCTGAAACTCTTGTTTTAATATTGATATTATTATAAAAGAAGATATTCGAGAAAAAAAGTTTAAAATGAACAGACTACGACTGAAATTTCTCAGGGATGTACAAAGGTGTCATAATGTTGTATAGTTATAAAATGTTTTCTTGGTATTATTTTTTTTCAAGTTTTCAGTTTTATTGTTCCTTTGCCGCATGTTCTCTGGTATAAGTTCGGGCATTACATATGTTAGATATACAGAAGAAAGGAATTTTCTCAATGTTTCGGGTACTGTTTTTAGAGTGTAGGGTATAAATTGTTCCATGACGGTAAATTTAAAATGCATTTGTCGTAAAGAAGGGTATTTTTTTGCATTGGCACAGGCTGTTCGATACGAGTTTTTTTGTGTTTTTAGATGACGTACATTGTATAAAACTATGAAAATGTATGAATTTATTGAGAGTACAGTGTACTTAAACTTTAAAGCAAGGTAATAAGGAAATCTCAAAATTTGTTTGAAATGTATTCAATTGGATTTGTTTGAAACTATTTGTTCTTGATATTGATATTCTTGTCATGAAAAGAAAAGAAAATGTTTTATAAACCATCTCAATAAAAATGATAAAATGATAAACTTTTAGCAAGGCTTTGTTGTTATATCTTGTCTTACATTTCTCTTTTAAATGGCCCATTAAGCCCTCGAAATCATTTTATTTCCCACAAACTTTTTTGTTTTTGGTATTTGGTATCCAAAACGTATTGGCCATATATAGATGCACCATCTTGTGCTTCTTTTGCTATAATAATTTGGCAGTAGGTACGTATAATTATTGTGATTGTGTATTTTGTATGGAAGTCAAAATACTACTGCGCCACTCGTAAAATATACCTTTTGGTGCTCACTCGGTGAAATATATTTCAATCTTACAATAAACTAAACAAATTTTCTTTTTATTATAAAAAATTATGCAAAGAAACGTTTTAAAAAGACATTTAACCTAATACTGAATGAAAAGCGCGCCAAATAATAATACAACGTGACGTCATTTACGACGTCACGTCATTAAGTTGGTACCCAGTACTGTGCACGCTGGTATTTCACTGAAACAACGTAAGGGGCTTAAATTCAAACAGTGAAATTATCAAAGTGGTAATTTTACTGTTTCAAACAGTGAAATTACCAGTTTTATATCACTGATATATTTCTATAAACCACCGAAAAGCATGTAATAAAAAACATTATTAAACCCATGTTTGACTTTTCTAAAACAACTTTGACTTTGAAGTCAGCCATTTCCTATTCAATATGAAATTACTGTTAATGTTTGAGGACATGGTAAAATGCATGGATGACAAATAACTGACCTCAGCTCCCATCTTTCTCATGCTTTCTACGCACACAAACAGTCCAGCAATTAAAATGCCAGTTTAAAGGAAATACAAACGCACAAGAAATCACAAACATTGTGAAATGTATGAATCACTATTTAAATGACTGAAGGAAAATCACCTTTCAGATATACCAGTATCTTATTGTATCACATGTATTATTATTACTATTGAGTAACTACGCACGAAAGGGAATCATTGGTTTTTTTCATTGTTTACGTGATTGTAGCGGAAATTTCCGGCATTCCATACATATTTGTGAGCAGGTGCATTTGAAATTAATATCGATCCCGAGACCTATAAAGCCACGAGACTACATCTGTTGATGCTATAATATGTGTCAATATTGATTAATCTAACGGAAAATAAATAGATATTACGAAATCCTCACGGTCTTACTATTAAGTCAAGCTGACTTTGATATTGATTTCTCAGAATCTGTTCGAATGTTTTCTGCTAATGATATGTATTTTACTTGGCTGACTTGTAAATTGTTGGTGGTTCTAATCGGTTGGTCTGATTCAGGACATTTATTGTACAAAAAGAGCTAGTAAGGTGATTCACGACCTTCAAATTAAGAAGAGTTTCAGCTTTGAGTCTACGATCCCGACGTCGGTTGTTTACGAGATGACAAAAACGTTACAATTTCTAAAGCATGCCTTACTAACGAGTGTTCATTTAAGGCTGCAAGTAAAATCAATACATTAGGAGATGTCATAAAGATGATAATGGTACAATGTAATGAAATCATCTCGGTTTTATCCCCTGATGAGTTGATAATGTAACAGGTGTTGGTAAATAAAACTTCATGTACTCGTACAATAGCAAATAATCACACCTGCAAGCTTTTAAATTGTAGTAATACTTGACTGAATGTTGATAAAAGTCATACGTGCGGAAAAAATTAATCGTTTCACTTAATAAATCAACTTCTTCTGAAAGGCCCTAAAATAAGAGCAAGAACTGTATAATTTTACCATTTTCGATTTTTTTGTCTTAAAAAAGCATTAAAAAACCACATTGTGCATAAATTTAAAAGCACATTAACTTTTAGAACATTTTAATAATGATATTCAAAAATATAGTTTAAGAGGAGATCACCTGAAGAAACAGTCCTAAACGTGCAATAATAAGTCTTTAAGGTAGCAAGATGTCAGGTATTTTAACTGCCTACAAAATACATATTCACTTTAGCTATGAGCAAAAGAAACAGAAGATGGCTCAGCTACGAGGGTAGTTCAATGAGAATCATGACGGTAATTATAAAATGTTTTCTACAACCTTGGCATAATTTTTATTATATTATTTTGCTAAACGTGTATTCCCTGTTATATTGAATAATCATGGTAACACACTTCCGCAAAAATGTTTTGAAGTACAGTTGAACTTCTAGATTTTTCATGATCTGTTTTTCCTTATATTCCACCAACACGTTTCATCATATTAAAAGAACATATAAAATTTTACGTCATTCGGACATTAAATTGTTAAACAAGTTTTAAGAAACAGTTGCCATTAAAATGGTTAGGCCAAAACGCTAGTACCAATGATTCACACAGGAGTAAGAAGCCTATGTATCTACTTACACTATTGTTACAAACACATTGTAGCATTATTGGCCTTCTATTTGCAAGACAAAATATTTATTAAAAATAAAGATATGGACAAATCAATAAAATAAAAATATGTATTTTTTATTAAGAGTGATACATTTAAAACAATCTGAAATCTAATATTTGTACATAAAAACCTAGTAGAATAAACATCAATTGATAATGCTTATCTATCGCTGTGATTCTTTTAGTAGTTAACACAATATTTTGTCCATTAAGATTGTTCCATTTCTCAAATTCTTAAGCAAATTTTATTTATTTAATCGGCATTAAATCAGCGTATCATGGAAATTCATGCAGGCACTGTGTAGAAATTCAAACATAATTTCAACCACTAAATAGGTTAGTGTTTGTAAAGTTGGCATTATTTCCTTTTGAATCTGTATCGCAGCTATGTCGAGCCAGACATATCTAATTTCTTTAACGCTGATTAGCAAACACTAACACATACGTAACCATGAATTATTAATGCCACTTGTATATTTAAAATGACTTAAGTGGTCTATATTTCTAGTATTTTAGGTCATTTGAAAGAAATAGGTTATTGACAATTGAAAGCGCTCACATCCTTATCAATAAAATCTCAAACATTCCACAATATGTTCGAACCAGTTTAAAAACATGCTCTAAAAGGATGAATATATAGAAGATTTAGAGAATAAGTTTGATGAAAGTTTACGTGTACGCATGACAGTTACATGATATATAGTCGTGTTATTAACAAAACAGAGACACTGTGATAATAATATGGCAGTCATTATTTATACTAAATAGTATATTCATGTATTTATTTTTACATATACCGTACAAATTATGACAGTGACATTATGTCTAGTAAATACGGCGATATTTTAACAGAACAGAACAGATCAGATAATTCATTCAGATTTGCCCATAGTACATCATCTTATATATACATATAAATAAATATATTTGTAAACGTGAGATACAATAAGAAAAGACTAATGTTTTACAGTTATTTATAAAAATCAAAATTTATCATGCATAAGGAGATTGAACAAATAATATATCAGGACATAAAAACAGATTTAAGGAGCACAATTGGAATGAAATAAAAGTCATGTTTTTTGTTTTGTTTTATTTTTTAAAATTTCATTGTGTGTGATAAACATTAATATTGCATTTTGCTTTGTTAAACGCCGCTTGCAAGCGGCGTTTAGTAGATATGCATTTGTCCATACAGCAATGGGGAAACTTTTAGACTTGATTTTGTGTATTTTTTTTTGTTTTAACAAAATCACACATCACAAATTTTCTAATAAAAATAGCTTTTCTGATGTACAACATGTCACAGAGCTTTAAGCGATCAGAATAAACGTTTAACTGAAGTGATAGTGCCATGTTTGAATATCATATTCTTTTTATCATTATCTAATTTTATCTACATAATAAATAACATACCAATGAGCCAGTCTATAATCGATTGTTTATTCAGCAATGGGCATACTGGCAAATTCAACCATTACATTTTGATGTTGAATATAGCCAAGACAATTTTAACACAAACAATACACAATACAATGCTTGCTAATACATTTGGTCAATTTAACAAGTACATTGTGATGTTAAATAAAGCCAAGACATCACACATACATTACAAAATATAATAGAAAAAAAAAACAGAATCCCTAAAGAAAGCCCAACACTGCAAAATTTGAAATTGTTGCAGGCTCGGTTTGATTGAGCCTGTTCATTGACGGTACTGTCAAGTGCAAGTCACTGTCCATGTCCCCTGGCACCGGCTTTAGCAGAATTCAACATTTAATCACGAAAATAGTGAAATTTTGAATTTAGAAACATCCGCAGATTCAGCGGTTATCATGGAAGATTCAATGTGAGACAGAAGTGCCATTCCATGAAAAGCGGTTTCCGAGAAAAAGTACATATATTTGTAACATTCATAAATAGAAAAAAAAAATGAAACGTGTAAATTAAGAGCAACATGGAACAACAGTATAACTTTACTTGACCCATATTTCATTGAAGTTATTGATTTTTAATACTATTATATAAAATACACTTCATATTGCTACAAAGTACAGTCCTCTAAATAATTTAAATGGACATGTCCATGTTTCATTCATATCATGTTTAGCCTTTCTTAGGGAAACTTTTAAACTATGAATTGTCTGAAGGGCGGACAGTACGGTATAGACAATGATCCCATGGAACGAATGTGTCGGCTGAGCTTTTCATATAGTCACACAGGTAGCCGCCCATGGAGTGAGAGTTTTATTTATGACAAAATACTTATACAGCATTTGAAGAAAGAAGGGTTATAAATTTAAGTTATGAAAAGGTAATATAGTTATCTATAACCAAAGATTCAAAGCTTGAACGCAATACTTGTATCTAAAAAAATGTGTCAAGCAGTTATATAAATTTATTGAGAACATCAAGTAAGGTTATGTAATCATCATAATGATTTTGTTAAAAATGCACAAAATTGATTCTTAGAAACAAAGTCAAAATATTGTTACAGGGTTGATTTTATTTGCCCGAAAACGACGACAACAACAACAACAACAATAACAAAAATAACAAAAAAAAAAACAGTCCTGCATAATTAAGCTTTTTGAATCATGAATATTAATATAACATTTTATGCATGACCTGA